ATTCCCTTGATGATATCGCCGCACGTGGCGACGGCGCCCTCCTCCTCGCACTTCTCGGCCTCGGCGATCCATTCCTCGCGTTTCGGCATGGCCGCCTCCTTGACCAAGACGTTGACAGCTCGCTTCATCACGTTGACGCTGGCCCCCAGCTGCTCCTGTAACCTGGCAGCGGCGATCCAGATTTCGAACGATGTCGGCACCGCCTTTCTCGCCTTGTTCAGCACCTTTTGTGCGTTTTCGGGCGTTTCCAGCCGCGCCAGCGCCAGCCAGAGGTCGACCGACAGGGGGATGATCTCGGTCGCCTTGGCCAGCAGCAGGCGAGCGTCCGTCTGGTCCTCTTCGAGATTGACGGCCTCCTTCCACAGCGCTTCCGAGTCGGGAATGTGATCCAGCGCCAGTCGGATGACCCTCTTCTTGGCCCGCGGCTCGTTCTCCAACCGCATGGCCTCGACCCACAAGAGCACCGACTTGTCGTTCTTCTTGATGGCCTCGGCGGCAATGATCTTGGCGTTGCGGACATCGTTGAGCCTGATGTTCTCCAGCCAGACGTCGACGTTCTTCGGGCACTTTTCGCAGCCCCGCGCGATGACGTTGCGGGCGGCCACCGTCTTGCCCGCCAGCTCCTCGAGGCGCGCGCCGGCGATCCAGCCTCCGGGGCTGTTGGGGTTCGTCTTGGTGACGGACGTCAGGAGCTCCCGCACGCGGTTGATGTCGGCCACCTGCGCCTGGGCGCCGTTCATCATGCTCTTGTCGAGGCTCGTGATGTAACCCTTGGGGTCGATGCTCGTGGCGCTGCCGGCGGCCGTGTCGGTGCCGCCGAGGGACGACGCCTGCTCGAGGCGCGACTTGAGCACCTTGTCGCGGGCGGCGCCAATCTTGGTGAAAGTGGTCATGGTGCAGTCGGCGCCGTCGGAGCCCGGGGCGACGCCCTCGTCGGACACGGTGGTGCCGAGCTCGGAGGCGTCGCGCGCCGCCGCCAGCACGCTGTCGGGGACGGCGTACTGGCGCTGGCGCAGGGCGGCGCGCGCGCGCTTGTTCTTGCCCGTGAGGTCGCCGACCTCGGGCAGGCTCGCCCACTCCTCGTCGGTGACGGTGCCGAGGGCGCGCTTGAGGTCGGCAAACTGCTGGGAGATTTTCGGGTTGTTGCGCTCGTACTCCTCCTTCTCGGCCAGCTCGCGGGCCTCGCGCTGCTTCTGCCGCCGCTTGCCCATCTTCTCGTCGACCTCCTGCCATATCCTGTCGGCCTCCTCATCGTCCTTGTCGTAGAGCCCGCCGGCGAAGAGGCCGACCTCGTTGTCGGGGTCCTTGAACCGGTCGTCGTCGCCGCCCTTGTCGTCGTCCTTGTCGTCGCCCTTTTTGCCGTCGGCGCCGATGCCGAGCTGCGCTGCACGCTTGGCGACGGCCTCCTTAATCTGGTCCTCACTGGGTCCCTCGCGTGCCGGGCCCAGATCTGATCGTGTCGTGAAGCCTGTCGCGCCACGGCCGATGCCAGCAATGTAGTTCTCGGGCGCCGGCTGGCTGAGGAAGTCGCGCCGACTGGCCATGGTGCCGCGTTTTCGGGAGAGGTCGTGACAGGAAAGAAAGAGTTTTGTGTTGCAACTCCTAGCATACAGGGCGTTGTGGGTGTTGGGAGAGGATGGGGGATGATCTCTCTCTTGCTCGAGAGTCACTGCCTTGGGAGGGCTGTCTTTCGGCTGTCTTTCTGGAGATGGAGCTGTTGGCGCAAGGCTGAAGGTGCACTAAAGTTTTAGGTGGCGGATCCCTGCACCTCTCTCTCTCTCTCTCTCTCTCTCTCTCTCTCGCTCTCTCTCGCACTCCACTTTATTTTTCGAACGGCTGCAGAACTGCCCCGCGATCACCGACAAATTATTTCGACGGCGGGATCCCAGCATCGCGACCGACACCGACTACAAGAACACACGCTCCGGCTCGACTGCGATCCTCCACCCCCTCACCCGAAGACTGGCGAAAGCGATCCGAAATCAGGCACCGACAATCCACTCTGTCACCATGGGAAAGGCACAGGGTGGCAAGCGCAACAGCAGCGCGGCGGGCTCCTCGCCGTATGCCAAACCGCAAAAGTCGAACAATGTCTTCAAGTTCAACGTATAACCACCTCCGCTCGCCGACCGCTTGAACTGCGCTGACTCTCCTCTCTTCTCTCACTCAGACGAATGTCGGCCAGCATATTCTCAAGAACCCCGGTGTCGCAGATGCCATCGTTGCCGTACGTATCCTCCGACTCCTCTCTGCTGTTTCGCGCGGGACACTGGGCTAACGATGCCGGACCAACTACAGAAAGCCGGCCTCAAGCCTACAGACACAGTCCTCGAAATCGGTCCCGGTACCGGTAACCTGACGGTCAGGATATTGGAGAATGCGAAAAAGTTGATCGCCATCGAGTTTGACCCGAGGATGGCGGCCGAAGTGACAAAGGTCGGTGCCCTACACGCAGCCGGGGATGATGGGAGTGTATGGGCGGCGCTGACAATGCGTGCAGCGCGTACAAGGCACGCCGGAGCAGCGAAAGTTGGAGGTCATGCTGGGCGATGCGATCAAGGTCAGTCTCTCGCTCTCCTTGTGCTTGGAGACCCCCCCCTCTGCATGGCGCAAGGCCAAGATACGACGGGCAGATTCACTGACACTCGATCCGCCAGGTCGACTGGGTGCCCTTTGACGTCCTCATCTCCAATACACCGTACCAGATTTCTTCGCCGTTGGTCTTCAAGATGCTGGCCATGCCCAAGCCGCCGAGGCAGGCCATTCTCATGTTCCAGCTCGAGTTCGGACAGAGGCTGGTGGCCAAGCCGGGCGACAAGCTCTACGGCCGGTGAGCACCCATCACACGCCGTTCACGTCAAGACCAATCTAACAAAGCCACACAGATTGAGCGTCAATGCCAACTTTTGGGCGACCTGCTCCAATGTCGTACGTCCTGCTCTCGCATCTACAGCGCCTCGCCGGTCCTGCATGCTAACTGGCGCAGATGAAAGTGTCCAAGGCGAACTTCAGGCCGCCCCCTCAAGTCGACTCGTGCGTCGTCCGCATCGTGCCGAAGCAGGGCAGCGAGCGTCCCAACATTGCCTTTGAGGAGTTCGACGGCCTGCTCCGGATCGTAAGCACAACCACCTTTTCCGTCTCGCCTGTACGAAACACGACTGACTGAGCGATTCCAGTGCTTCAACCGCAAGAACAGGACCATGCGCGCAAGCTGGCTAGGGACGAAGGAGGTGCTGTCCATGCTGGAAAAGGTACGTCTGGCCGCGGCACGCAGCCCCCACGCGAGACGTTCCCACGCTAACGTGATCGCCAGAACTACCGCGTCTGGGCCGCCATGAACAACGTGGCCCTCGACGACTCGCTGGTGGAGGAGGAGGAGGGCGACGACGCGGCCGACGAGGAGATGGACCTCGACGACGAGGCCGCCGAGCAGGACGACGACGGCGCGACCGACTTCTTCGCCGCCCTCAAGCCGGCCGAGGTGGAGAAGACGAAGAGCAAGCGCAAGAAGACCAAGGTCGCGGCCCTCGTCCGCCACAAGATCGAGAGCGCGCTCGAGAAGACGGAGCTGCTGGAGAAGCGCGCCAGGCAGTGCGACGAAACGGACTTTTTGAAGCTCCTGCACGCGCTCAACTCGGAGGGCATTCACTTTGCATGAGCACCTACGTCGTATACACGAGAAGAACAAGAACAACACACGACTGGAGCATGGGCAGGCGGAGAGGTCACAGTTGCTATTTTCCTTGGGCAGGGTGTTTTGGGAGTTCTGGTTACTTGAGAAAGGAAAAATGAGAGAGAGAGAGAGAGAGAAAGAGAGATATACCTCTGAATAGTAGGTTAGATTGGCCCACGGACTTTTCTTGCCTCTTTTCCGTCGAGGAACGGCACTCGCTCGAGGCACAATAAACTCCCCCAGCATGGGTACTTGATGACGCATTATCGTTATTATCCTCACCCACGTTACAGGAGCGGAGCCCTGGTCATGTGTTCGAATGAAAACCAACCCGACGAACCAACGAGCGAAGCGCACATCACATACCGAGGCTGCCGTCCCTCTCATTCCCTTCCAAATGAACATGGACCCCCAAAGCTGGGAGGAGAAAGGACCCCTCGCTCATCTTGCTTCTTCCTCGAAGAGCAGCCCCCACAGGTGCCGAAAAAGGGTCTCGGGCAGCCATGACCTCTTCCTCCCCCTGGTGTGCGGTCTGTGGTCAGGGAGCAAGCGGCGGCGGCAGCGAGGGCCCATTAACCTACCCCCACGAGAGGGAGAGAGCGAGAGAGATGAGAGGGACGGCTGGGATGATTGGTGAAGCCCCTAATCAAAAGTGCTCACGACCGACGAGCACCATCAACAAGTCGCGCCAGCACAGCACCAGAGCCACCCGCCTGCGGCTGTCCAACGGCACGGCCACGTCCATCTACTGCGCAGGCATCAATGCTGCTGCTGCCCAGGATGAGCACTAATCAACGCCGGGTTCCTGCGCAGATGATCAAGGAAGGGCCCGCTTCGGGAGCGCGAGCGCGCGTGCCCAAGGCCGGAACATTATGGGATGAGCCGACGGGGGTAGTGCTGGTGGTGGGCTCGCTGGCCAGTTGGCAGGATAGCCTTGGCCGAGTGGGTGGTGGTGACAGTTTGGGGAATGGCAGCAAAACTGGCAGAATCGGACGTCACAAGGACCGGCGGCGGCAGCAGGTTCGTCACAGAGAGCAAGCAGCGGAGGGCTGCAAGCAGGGAAGGCCCGGGGGGGGGGGGGCGGTCAGGATGCCATGTGCGTGGGTGTTCCAGTCCCTGGGGAGCGGTGAGGCTTTGGGAAGAAAGGGGCGGGGGACCTGGTCCCCTGGGCTTCCACAAAGTCAAGCGGCAATGTGTGGGAGGCGCTGCGCCACATGTTGGGTCCCTCGGCCCAGATGCCTGGGTGACTGACACAAGGGACAGGACACCGAATACTCATGGCTCAGTGGGGGGGGGGGGGCAGGCCTTGTCTGTCAAGTCTGTGTCTGGCGAGTGCCATGATCACAGGTCGGTCACCCGAAGATGAGCTGCAAGTGCCAATTTGGCATGAGGGTGAACAGGGCCGCTCGGCGAACCTGTCGCACAGCATGACCACCCAGTCATCACCGCTCGCCCCCGGCCCACCTGTTCTGCCCGTGCTGTGCCATGCCAGTGTGTGGCCGAAGCGAGATGGTCGTTTTATCATGTTTAATCAGCCAGCGCGGCGGCGGTGACGTCGGGTCTCAGGTCTCTCTCCACGGACCAGGACCCTGCCGTTGGACAATGTGCGAAAAAGCCAGCGGCAGCGGCAGCACCAGCATCAGCATCAGCATCAGCATCAGCAGCCAGTAACTTCTGTCTCGCTGGTCGGAGCCTCGAGCAAGGGCCGACCGGACATGACGGGCTGATGAGTTGGCCTGCGTTGCCCACCGCCTGCTGTTCCAAAAAGGAACCTTCTCCTTGCCTCGCTGCCTGGCCTCGCAAGTTGCCTCTTCGGTGGGGGAGAGGAGACATACAAGTCAGGAAGAAATGTCTGCAATGTCACCTCAGTGCCGTTTGGCAGGCCGTCGCCAGACCACATGTCCGATGTTCTTCTTTGTGACCTGTGTTCGAGTATGCACAAGCATGGGGGTTGGCACCCGCCCACACACAACTTTGGTCTGGGTCCCGACTACTGACACAATTATCCTTCGTCCAGTGCCTGGATGACAAGACAGCCGATCGTGGATGCACTGGTCGGCAAACTAGCGGTGATGTGGACGGACGGACAGCACACAACGGCTGGGACGGGTGAAGATGGGGTTCGCTGTTCGCCCAGGGGTCCGGACCGCGTCGCTGGCGCACTTGGTAGATGGCAGATGGCGAACCTTGCCAGGCGGAGACTGTTCTCTTGTTGAGTCGCGCAATAATCAGGTACCGGGTCATGCCCTCCCGACGGAGCAACAAATGTGCCCCCGACAGGACAGACAGGGCACAGAGTGTGAATGAGTGCGCGTCCCCAGCGGAGTCTAGCAGACGGGCAAACAGGCAGGCCTGGCGGGCTGGCGGGCTGGCGGGCTGGCACTGAGGGTGGAGTGGACGAGGCAAGCCTCCGAGGATAAAGGGGCCGGGGGGGCTTTGGGGGGGGGGGGAGGGACGAGGCGAAAAAGGGAGACAGGCGACGGTGAAGACTGCAGGGGTACTTTCGCTGCCACGTCTAGCTACAGCAGAGTGACCACCAAGCACTGCCTCCTTAAACGCACAAGTCGTGTACCTGATTAGTAGCGTTGTCGACAAGCACAGTACCCGGTACATGTACACGTACAAGTACAAGTATATCCGACTGCACCGAATGTTCGCACCACCCTTGCTGCCTTCGATACACTTCTGGGGTGCCGGCTCTATTGAACGACTCCGCATTCTTTGGCGGGATTCTTCCGAGCGGCCAGGAGAGGAACACGACGGACGGACAACGGGGCGTCAAGGGGCAAGGGTCGTTGCAAATGGGCGCCTGACCCGAGGCCGAGGATGGTGAGTGAGGCCCGAGGGCAAGGTTTTTTTTTTCTTTTTCTTTCTCTTCTTCACTTTTACTAGAACTTTCAGGTGGAAGCATACGGAAACCCGCGGGACATGAGAAATGCCGTCACGTGCACACCCATCCCCGCCCCCAGGGTTCGTCCAGATTCTTTCGTGACATGATGGGGCGAGGGCAGAAGAAGAAATGCAAAATCATCACCAAACCACAGCATCAATGGGAAATGGCATGAAGGACAGACGGACGATTAGCACCCTTGGCTTCGATGTGTTCTTTCTTGGAATAGGTACCAAGTACCAAGAACGTCTAGGCCCCCCCCCCTCTTCCGGCGTCCTGCGTCCTTCTCAGGTACGGGTGGTGTGCAAGGCGAAACACAGCGGAGAGGTGTGTCCGCTGCGGGGACCTGCCAGTCGAGAAGTAGCTGCATGTGTGAGGCATGTACTCCCCCTGCGGAAAATACCGAGGGAGCTACCTCAAGCGAGCAATGAGCGGGTACGCGAGTACCTCCACTGGCACATCCCTCTGGAGAGTCCCCGACCGCCCGTCCCTTGGCGGGCTCGTCCCTGCTGCTGCTGTTGAGGAGGGAAGGTGTAAGGTGTCGCACCTCCGGCCCACTTTCCCACCTTGCCCTCGCACTAAGGAAGGCAATGACGACCTACCGGGAACCTAGGCACAGGCTAGACCTGCCACCCCCCCGATTCCGATTGACCTTTGACACGTTCTGTCCCATCCCTCAGGGCCCAGGAAGCCCGCCGCCCTGTCTTGCCTACCCTGACTACCACCTGCCCTCACTGAGAGTGCCCGCTCCACTGTCCTCCACTTGTACCTACCTTGACCAGATACCTTGACTACTTTCCTACCTAGGCCAGCTTTTTTCCATCTGACCC